ATAAAGTAGGTCTTATTATTATGCCAGCTTACAGATAAGAAAACTAAAGTTTAACAAAGCTCAGACAGTTGAGGAAACAACTGGTGAGTGGTGAGATGCTAGAATTTGAATCCAGGGATTCTGACTCCAGAATCTATGTCCTTAGCCACCTTGCGTTCCTGACTTTATCTAAAGTTAGATTCACAGAGTAATGCTGTTCTGTCACTTGGGTCTCATTCTCAGTGAAGCATCAAGGACCCTTCTGTGTAGACACTGATGGCTCCCATATGGAGGGGGAGCACTTCATGGGATTCCACTGCTCTAATGCAACAGGCTTTATCAAATCAAATTCAGACGGTGAGCATGGAGGTTGTGTCTAAATTTTCACAATTAGAAAAATGCCTTGCTGTTAAAAAATATTTGAAAGAAAACCTTTATTATTTTATGTGGTCAGATTCCTTGAAGTAAAGTTACCTGGTGGGCAGCTTGGCAAATGTCATGACTTAGATGTCCGTAATCAGCTGTCCCCAGTACAATGTAAGTTCTCCCTCTTGGACTGATGGCACTCTTTTCTACTTTTCTTTTCTTGGCAATGAAAAAAAAATGGGATTAAGTTCAGATAAATAAAAGCCACCATTTCAAGGTATGCAATTGAATGGCTTTATTACAGCTAAAACCCTCTCTAATTTCAGAACAATTTCACCACCCCTGACTCTCCCAAGTAAGTCCCACACTCATTAATATCCCTCCCACCCCTCTTCCTTTGTGTCCCTAGCAACTTCTGATCTTCCATCTATTTCTACTGAGTTGTCTTTTCTGGAAATTGACAAATGTATGTGTACAATATTGGGCTGTTGTGTTGGGCTTCATTCATGTAGCTTGTCAAGGTCTACCTATATTGGAGCATGTATCATGTATTCACTCTTTTTTCAGGTAAATAATATTCCACTATGTGGAAAGATGTTTTGTTTATCCATTTGTCAGCTGATGGACATTTGGGTGTCTTCCACTTTTTCTTTCTACATGAAGAATGCTAATTGGAACATCTTTTTAAAAACATCTACATAGATGATATGAAGAGAGTCTTTTCATGAGATGAATGAGGCAGAAAAAAGATGATAAAAGAATTTATGGAGGAGGGTAGGCCTGAGGTCAATTTAGTTAAATAGTGAAAGAGAAAGGAGGTGGGAGGTGGGGGTGTCTCTGGGTTCATCTCTTTGGCTCCTTGTACTTCTGTGCTGCTAGCCAATGCCTCCAGGAGAGAAGACAAAAACAGACTTCCTACAAGTTCTGTTATTAAGGGCAACTCAGATTAGGTACAGAAAAAACTGGCTGAGGACTGGGATGTATAACTCAGGGACTGTGCTGGGGAGGGTACAGCTGATGAGGCCTGAGGAGGGTATCCCCCCACCCCTCCCCCTTCTCTGGTGGTGAGAAGAAAGGTTGATCCCCTATGATATGCCTACGGAAATCCTGCACAGCACTGTCCCAAGACTGAGGTGTCAACCTCGCCCCAGCCCGGCATGTGGCAACCCCCCTGAGCAAAACCCACCTTCTTGCCTGTCTTATCTATGAGTCTTGAGGGGAGAGTGAGGCCCAGAAATTTCAGGTAGACAAAGGTTGGGTCAGGAAGAAAAGATAAGAAAAAACTACATCTCTGATAACTGTGATGATAAAATAAACATAAATTTAACTGCTGCTTTGGGCTAAATTGTGTCCTCTCCAAAATTCTTATGTTTAAACCTCTAACTCCCATGGTGTTGGTATTTGGGGATGGAGTCTTTGGGGGTGATTTGCTTTAAATGAGGCTATGGTGGGACTAGTGTCCTGATAAGAGGAGGAAGAGACCCTAGGGCTCAGTTTCTTCACTGGTGAAGATACAGCTTAACGGCCGTAAGCCAGGCCTTGGCTCTCACCAGGAACTGAATTCCCAGTTACCTTGATCATGGACTTGCCAGGCACCAGGCTCCAGAATAGTGAGAAATCAATGTGGTTGCATAAGCCTGTTATTGCAGCCTGAGGAGATTAGGACAACAGTATATTCACCCCAGACAGACTATTTTAAGAAATGGATTAGTTACTGAAATCATTTGGATTTAGATGAAGAACAAGAATGGCATGAAAGACTGTGGGCCAACTGGGATGCCATTTTAAGAATCCACTTTCGTGTTCCAACATAGCCTGGTGTGGCTCCTCAGACCGGTTCCTTCTATACATCCCTAAGGGGAGACTTCAGACCCAGAGAACAATCTCTTCATCCTCTCCACACCTTGTTCTGTTGGTGTGTGCCCGGTCTTGACTCTGGCCCCATGCTTCGCTCGTACCTCTGCACACTCATGAGACATCGAGTCACACTTCTCCCTCTGAAATCTCTCTGGGCTACAACCACCTTCGCTCACCTTTACTGCCACCATGGGCCTTTGTCACACCTCCCAACAGCTTCTTTTCTCTGGCTCTTTCTCTGATCTGGGCTACGTTGGAAACCCTGAGGCAGCCTTAGGAGACATTCGAGAGAGTTCTTGACCTAAGAACAACCCAGAGATTTAAGATTTAACCAACGAAGGACATAAGGTTGGCCATAGAGGAAGACAGACCTGTATAATTTAGCGATGGGGAATGGACAGGGCTCTAGAAGAGTTTGTGATGCCAGCCTATTCTTATTCAAATGACTTATGTACGTAATAGATTGGTGCTGATCCTATCAGTAGCTGACATATTTCAAGATGGGAGAGGGGTGGGAATCAGTCTTGCTTAAATGACATAATTGCATCTATTTCTGTGTGCTGGGTCTTAAGCAGGCTAACTCCTCATAAACCAGTTCTTCAGTAGATCAGCAGCCAAGAAATCGCGGAGAGGCTTCTAATTGTGCCCTAATAATCATTTCCCCCACTTTCAATAATAATAAAACTGCTGAAGTTTGACTGTCACCCAGAAAAACAGACAACTTTTGTCTAACTTCTATTGCAGCTGGGTGTATTCGTATGATTAAATGCCAGCCAACTGTACATAAGCCAGAGTAGTGTGTGCAACTTTTAGGAAGCTAAATGCTTAAAGGGAAAGGACATTCTTTTTCTCTCCCTTTTCCTCCTTCTGGACAAATTGTAGATGTGATGGCTGGAGCAGCCACTTTGGACTCTAAGGTGGAAGATACGTGTTGAGGGGAATGAGGAACCTGGAGGAATGTGGGTTTCAGTGACCTTGGATCTCCTGCACCAGCAATGGATTTTTATGCTTATGTGAAAGAAATAAACTAATTTGCTCCAGCAGCCTTTTAGATTTTGAATGTGGAATTTGATAGCTGAAAATGGGATGCTGCAAATGACAACACCTAAAACATGGCATTGGCTTAGTGGAAGTAGGCTGGCAGATGGCATGGACAGGGTACCTTTTAAAGAATGGCTGTACATTTGATGAAATTGCTACCTGGAATATCACAGGGAATGGAGCACACATTGACAGAGGTCACAGCAAGAGAAAATGTTGGGAGGGTGCAACAAGTGTGACTGTTCCTCTTGGTTGCTTATCACGAAGCCTTATAAAAGCAAGAGGAACTGGAGGACAGCCAGCCAGACTCCAGTAGACAGGAGGGGATCTGGCTTTGAGAGAGGCACTGTCCAGAGCCTGTGATCAATATAGGTTAAAGTCTCCAAGTGTAGGAAATACCAGTTTCTGTTTTCCAAACTGCAGTTACTCAGAGCGGTGACCTTGAAGTGACAGCCTTGAGCAGTCATTTCCAAGCCTTCTCTGCCAGAACATTCAAACCAGAAAGCCTCCTGTTGCTTTCCAACAGGCCTCTTTCAGGTGGCCTTAGCTGTAGGCACCTTTACGTTCAGAAAGAAGCATGAGCAGACCATAGAACAGCAGTCTAGCTCAGACCTTCAGCAGTGAGTTCTTGATGGAATTCTATGAGGAAACGCCCCATAAACCTGTTGTCAGAACCATGAAGCCACACTGGGGGACCTGCCCTCTCCCCATATTGCCCCAGGAGTGAACAGCCTTGTCTCCAAGGCTGCCCTCTACAGTGCCACCTCAGAGGTGGTTGTGCAGGTAGGTGGACAGGGAGCTTCTCCCAGCAGAGGGCCGGGAAGCCAGTGGCTTTCCAGAGGCCACTTCCCCAAATTCCTGTGTGTGGGACTTGGCAACTACTTGGCATGGTGTTTCCTGTTCTTCCTTCCTATGAGTGGGTTTTGATGACTGCCTGCCTCTATCTACTTCACTACTGTTACAGGCTGGGCTGGGAGGAGGTAACTTACCCTGAGTTTGTCAGTTATCAGACCACAAGAAGCCACCTGGGGATGGCAAATCACCCAAAAGTGATTTTGTTTCAAGCTCTAACTGGGTGGGGTTCTACCTTAAGGAGAGGAGGAACAGGCTGTGTCCCAGGCAAGAAAAGTGAGCAGAGGGTTGAGCTAAGGCAGAGACTACTAATTGTATCTCAAATTTACTCCTCTTCTTTCTAAAATACAGAACCCTGACTTTCAGTTAGCCATATGGCTTCTCGGAATAAAAGCCTTTTCTAGATTCCCATGTAGCAGGTACAGCTTTGTAACTAAACTCTGGTTAATGGGATGGATCACATCCAGATGACACAACGTAATGGAAGAGGTCTGGCTTCCCCCTCTCCTTTCTCCTTTCTTACAGGGGAGCTACCATCATGGCTTTCCACACAGAAGCTGCATCCCAGGTTGAGCAGAGCAGAGCAACAAGTTAGAAGGAACCTGGGATCCTGGGGCCACCCTAATAGCCCAGTGTGATAGAATAAAGGAAACTCTATTTTGTGTAAGCTACTGTTGTTACCACAGCCAACCCTAATGGTGATCCAGAATCTGCCACACTGGGTCAGGGCAGAGGTAGGTATTGTGAATGGTCAAGCTCCTGTTGGAGGGAAGGTGGGGATGGGCAGAGAACGTTTTCCTCCCAGAGTTAATATTTGCTTTTTAAAAGGCAAACAAAATTAGAATACACTTTTAGTAAGCAAGACATTAGAATAAAAATGTCAACACACAACAAAAGGGTGCATAGCTCAAATGCTTTTATGTTCATCAAATTGTTTTTCAGTAGAACCACTGACAGGTCAGAATGACAGTGTGGAGAACAAATTAGCAGAAAGAAAAACATCGCTGATCAATTAAAATATTTCTTGAGACTACAACACTTCACACAAACCCTTTGGTTGCTCCAAATAGAATGTGAGTTATAACGAAGGCAGGTAGCCTAGCCCTTCGACTGTGTACTGGCTCCCTAGGCTGAGGTTAGCATCTCTGCCATCATCACGAATCTGTCCTCAGCTGAAGATGATAGGCAAGAACCAGAAAGTGATTACCATGGCATTCAACAGTGCCAATGTCAGAGGGACATCTCTTGGGACAGATGACAGAAACATGGCACACCTCTCCAGAAGCGTCACAACTTGGGTTTTAGGATTAATTTTGATTTTTTTGGAATACAAACTGCAACAATAGTAAATGTTTTATGAACAAAGGTCATGTAAGAAACATATAAGAAAACTGAGTGTCTTGTTTCTTTAACCATGCAACAGTGTCTTTTATTATGTTTGGGTTATCAGCATTGTTTTTTTTTTCAATCTATATTTAGGCAAAATCAGTATACTGTTCAATACACTGAAACTTCTAAACTTAATCACTGCCCAGAGAAGACCATCCTCAAAGTGTGCTTAACCTGGAGGCTAGTTCCTCTGCTGACGTCCAAGTACGTGAGGCTGTAAGTAACAGAGACCATCCTCCCTACCCCCCTCAAACCTTCCCTTCTTAGGCCCAGAGCAACAACACAATTCTTGCAGACAACCGTGCAATGTCCAAGATGACTTTCATCACCATCTTCTTCTGTAGAAATACGGGAAATGATTCTTGGCCATCAACAGAAAATGTGCCCCTGAGGAAAAATGTCGTGGAAAGCAAGAAATTGGCCATCCCCAGAAATGACTGTAGCTGGTGTATCCTTGTGGGTGATGCTCTTGAAGGTCCTGTTGCCACCAGGCCTGAGCCTCAGCCATCTTATCTGCCATCTCTGCCTGCTGGTGGTGCAACCCTGGGGAGAAGCTGGGAAGGACTGAGGACAGCCAGGTTGAGGTCGAGACCCTGGTCCTGCCTCTTACAATCTTTACCTTTGATGCTGCCTTTCCTTGTGGCCTCCAGAAGATGAGGCCTGTTGCTTGCCATCCAATGATAAAATCTGAGGCACCAAACAAGGCAATCAGCAACAAAGCAGCAATAGCCTCTCCCCTACACTGAACGCATACTTAAGGATATTCGCTGTGACAGAACAGGACAGGCTGTAGATAAAAAGACCACCATAAGTTTGCAGTTCAACCCTCCCTTCTCCCCCCAACTAAATCCAACTGAACCTTTTTTTTTTTTCCTGGAAAGTCAAAAGAGCACGTGAAGGTTTTAGGGTCTAACACCAGAAGTGATCTCCTGTCTAACTCAGCACATTAACTTATCTAATTAGCTCTTCCCAGAGTGCCAGAACGTAGGATGGAAATGTCTTCTCCATTCACACCCAAATTGTGCAGGCAAAATATTTATCCTGGTTTTGATGAAGTTCTTCTCTTATGACTAAAAAAGGCTTGTTAAGTATAATTGCTTAAGTATATAAGGTGGTGAAGCAGAAACTTGGAGCTACAGAATTTAATTGGTAATATCTAGAGAATATAGTTACATGTTCTGCCATTCTAGAGAATTCTCTACTCTGGCTCTCCCCCAGTATTACAAGGACTTTGTTTGGGGTAAATCTGCTGGGGTTGAACTAAGTGGTCTGCACAATGTCAGAAAAAGTTTGGTTGCAAACTTCGGCAAGCTTTTTAGACATATATGTAACATAAAGGCAGCATTTCTGCAACCCCGCTAAAAAACTTAATTAGCTGTAAAAATAATAATAATAAAACACATCTCCAAACCCATTTGACTTCTCAAGTTTCTGCAAACACAGTGACAATGCATTTCTGTCGTTTGCCAAATATCCTGATGACATTTAATTTATGTCAGCCTTCCCCTCTTTGCTCGTGCTTTGCTGAGAAAATTTTCTGAGTCCAGGTTGAATGTAAGCACTGATAGGGTATTCCTGTGTGTGTTGGATTCTCTTCAGAAAGAAAGCGATTTTCTCTGATAAGTTAATTTTCCAAGTAACTCATCCATAGCTCTGTCAGATTCCAGCTGATGAAAATTCACACGAACACAATCTTATTCAACCCTTATATTCAACCTAAAGCTCTCAATGTTATTTCTATTTTGAAGGAGGAAATAGGAGGCAAAGCATCCAGGTGACTAGAACTAGTTATTTTGTGTGAATTGGAAATTTTTTTCTATCCATTGCTCCAAAGTTTCCCACAACATCCTGCTAGCCTGCCATTATGCTGACGAAGTTGGGGCTCTGATGGTCTCCCACTGCACAGTCTGGGGTGCTGGCATCTGTTATACCATATAACAGTCTATAACTGTATATGACAGATACTATATAACAGCCCCCCTTACCCTCACTGCTGCCAGCTAGCAGTGAGACATCAATGGGGAAAAGACGGGAAGCAAGCACACATGCTAGTCTGGAGATAAAGAACCTTCAGAAACCTGGCCTGCTGGTCGCCACCCCCTCTCCCAACCAGGAAAGTACTCAGTTGGTCCAGTTAGCTCAACACCAAAATGGCTTCACTTACATGCACAGTAACATGAAAGCATCCTTTTTCTATAAATCCTGTTAAGAAAACTGGCTTAGCTTCCTCTTCTAGACAAAAACCACTGTTTAAAGATGCCGCTTTAAGATTTTTACGTAATTTATTTTCCTTAAATAGTAATTTGCTACAATCCTGTCACAAATTTTTAAAAAATTTTTAACACAGTATTAACAAAGGCAGAATTCTTCAGGACAATCAAAATCATGGTGTACTTAGAATAAATTAACATCAAATGTGTTTATATTCAGATAGTCTGATCCTCTCCTTTGAAATGAAATGGAGACCATTGTAACTCAGGGTGAATGTGCACATTTGTTCTTCTATACAGAGACTCATTCTTTATATAAACTCAACTGTAATTTGAATCAAGTTAGGAATCCTGAGAAACACTCACCCATGGAGACACACACACACACACACGCGCGTGCGCACACACAGACAATCCTCTAGAAGTTGGGTTTCCCATGGTGCAATGCCTAGAAGATCTTTTCTCAACGGGCCAAAGATTCTGTATATTTAGAGGCTATCCCATCTCCCCTCAGGAAAATCATAAAGTTTCAAGTGTAAGAGTTTGAAGTAGCAGCAATACATGGAGTAGACTCAGTAGTCGATGGTTCCAGTCTTGGGTGCTGAGTATACAGCGAGAGGTGCAGAGCGAGAAGCCCCCGCTTCTAAAGGTAACACACCAGGGTTGGCCAGAGGACACCGAGAGCCCTCGCCCTCCATCACGACCGCAAATTCACCCGAGTCCCCCTCACTGATCCGGTACAGGCACTGGGTGTGAACCTGAAGGGGGCACTGACGCAGGGGGGAAGTGGCCGTCTCCTACGTGACTCTCAGAAATACAAACACCGGAAGTGTCAGGGCACAGGAAGGGAGGCGGAGCCGGAACTGCTCGTGCTTCGGTCTGAAATCCCATCACCACCACCCTGCACTTAGTACATTCATCAGGGTGCCCTTAGCTTCGGGGCGGGAGAGCGCTCTTTGTCCACTCCACCGGGAAGCACAGAAAACTCAGCCCTTGGAGCCTGATACACAGACACAAAACATCAAGCGACCCTAAATAGCCACACCATCTTCTTTCTGGGAAGTCAGCAGCTCTGCCGCGACCCCTCTGAGCTGCCCAAGGGTGGTTAACAGGAATAATGTGATATCTAGGGAAGAAGGCATTAGGATAGGCCCCGACTGAGATCCCGTTTGCTTTCAACTCTGGAGGAGAATGCGGGCCTGAGTGAAGCTGTAACTGCATGCGTTACCTACACAGTTCCTATGTACACGATACCTTTCCTAGAGAAATTTAAAGTGCCTGGGTTCAAATGGGCTCATTCCTTTCCCACCGCCTATGGATTCCTCTTGCTGCTTCCGGAGAGAAGGCCTGTCCTTAAGGTGGATGTCTTTGGGAAGGAGGAATGAACGTACAAATGTTATTCACAGTTGTCTTAACTGGGATCCAGCATTTGGACTAAACCTTCTTCACAAACTCGAAGAATCGCTTCGCACACAAACTTGTACTGGCTCTGGAAAAGAAAAGGAAGCCGTTAAATCCCCCGGCAGCCCTGGAGATGCTATCTCACCCCCATAGGCAGTACTTCCCTCATGTCACTTGCAAGTACAGTAAGCCCTTCCTTAACGATGCTGAGAAGTTCTTGGAAGCTGTGAACTGTAGTGGAAAGAGGACTGGGGATACCTCAACAGGATACCTCCTGTCGTCAACAGGAGTCGTTTTGTTTGCCACTGGCTGGGATTTTTGGCTTATAATGAAGTGTTGTTGAAAGAAGTTGGAGGATCTGCTGTACTCTGTGTGATACATGCCAGGGAAACAGAAGAGACAGCCTGTGAACTCACTACTCTACACAGTAAGGAGTGAGGGCTACAACCAGAGAGGGGCAGCCCGTATGTGATGGACACACAGCAGACGGAAGAACCCCAGTCTTGGGGAGTCAGGTTGGGCACAAGAATTAGTGCACATCCACATGGAGGGCCAGGCAGAGACAGCCGTTCCCAGAAGCAGGGCCCTGGCCAAACACCTGGGCGTGGGGGAGAGCTGTGGGGGAGATGAGAGCTGGGGTAGACAGCCTTGTGTTGAGGTCAGGATCTGGAGTTTTGTTTTAAAAAGGAGTGTCTGGGCTTTCCCTGGTGGCACAACAGGTTAAAGCACAGCACCATGAAGCTATCTGCAGCCACTGCAACACGAGTTTGATCCCTGGCCAGGGAGTGACCCACATGGCTCAGCAGACCTCTCTGACCCACCCACTGCTCCCCTCAGCAGTGTATTTCAGTCGATCTGCCTGTTCTGCTCCCTACTCTGTCTCTGGTGAATCCTCTCATGCTCCACACATCTGACTTGTACTCCAGTTTTTCCATGCATAAATAAATAAATCTTTAAAAAGGAGTGTCTAAAAAAGGCACTCCTGTATTACCAAGTGCCTAAGGGGAGAAGAAAGTATTTAGATAGGGTGTCACTGGTTAGGATAATCTACCAGGAGGGTGGACTTTAAAATTTTGAACCAGCAATGAAGTCTTCCATACCACAAAACAGGGTGGAGAATAGCATTGTTATTTTCCCCTTAATCAGATTTCCCAGGCACAAATTAATATTAAAAATACCAAAGCCAGAGCTCATAACCATTATAGAAATCTTTGAAGTTTTGTCCACGTGCCTGTGAGAACACAGAGCTGGCTGGAGAAGAAGCCATGCTCTTCCATTGAGGCTCTCTGTGGGCTTTTTCTGTTGCTGCAGAAATGCAGAGTTGACTAGTCCAGTTCTCCTCCTACATAAGAGCTTCAGTGTCTGTACAACTTGTTGAGTGGATGATTGAGTGAATATAGGCTGGTCCCCTTTTGCAGATGGTGAACAGGCTTGGAAAGTGGTTAGGGACAACCTCAAGTTGGCTTGTATGTGGGGGCACGTGAATCAGGCACTATCATAACATTCTGCTGCCTCTCCTGTAATTTTTGGGGAAATCCACACTTAAGGACACTCGAGATGCTGAGTACTCAGGTGTGGCATGCGTGGGGGAGAGCCAGGAGCAGGCAGGGCCATGTGAAATGCCCACTGAGACAAAAGGTCCCCGGGTGGAGCCCTCAGGTGACCTGCTTCTGCTTGTCGACACACACGGGCCAGTGGTTCAACAGTGCAGGACACATCTAGGGCTGACCCAGCTGAGAGGCCAGCAGGAAGTGGGGGCAAGGAAAGGCAGTGGCGGGCCTGGGGTTCAGCCTCTGACAAGCTCAGTGACCTTGGAGTGACCTAGTCCCCTTGAACCTTAGTGCCTTGACTCATGAGGCCCTTTGGGCAGGGCTGGCCCAGACTACACGCTCCAGAAGTGTTGGCCACTGTCACTATTTTGACTGCATTCCCACTTACTGCGGTCTGCACCATCATGGCGCGCTGGTCTCTCATCTTCCGGACGATATCCAGTGGATACACGGGCAGGTTTCTCTCAATGAGACACATGGCTGTTTCCATGGTGACCAACACACCGGTCCGACCTATTCCAGCACTGGAGTAGGGACAGGAACACAGACTTGGGATCTGTGCAAGCAACATTTCTGCAGAGCCCAGCTAAACTCACCAGTCCTGGCATTTACTTAGCACTTTCCTCTGCTGACCTTCGAGAACACCAAACACACACTTGGGGTGTGCTCTCACACTGGCTGGAGAAGCCTCTTATTTATTCTGAGGCCAGGGGATTAAAACCCAATGGAAAGACCCCAGCTTCAAGTACAAAACCTACTCTCTGCCTTTCCTGTATCTGCGAAGGTCGGCAGACGGGGAAGACGAGGGTAGGCCTTTCTTCAAAGTTCGGTACTATATTCAGAAGTTTACACTTCATAAAACTCCAAATCTTTTGAGTGGTGAAGAACTAAGGTAGACAGAGCTACATGAAAGCAGAGGGTGCTGTGGGATTTCGGGCAAGGCTGATGTCTGCCCACTTTCTCCAGACCTTCTCAATGGAGTATGGGCACCCCTGTCCCCACCAACACAGACCCCATTAACAAAACACCCCCGTCCCACCATACACACAGACCCCAACAAGCCACAGTACCTGCAGTGAACTAAGACGGGCTCACTGTCCACTCGCAGGGATCTCATGTAGTTTACAAACTCCAGGAAGTCCGAGGAGTCGTCAGGGACGCCGTGGTCAGGCCACGCCACATACTGGAGGTGTGTCACAGTGTGCTCTTCCCCGGTCTGGGGAGACACGAGCCGTCACGGTGAGCGGGGTGCTGGCCTCCGGCCTGGGTGGACCTGCCTCCCAGTGCCCTCCTGCCTTTGCCAAGTTCTGCCCAGCCCGGCGCAGGCCACCTCCCTCGCAACTGCCTCCTCCACTTCTGACCCCAGTAGCTCCTCCCAGCATACCTGTGGCCACTGGCACAGCAGAGGCTCATGTTTTTTTTTTTTGTTGTTGTTGTTAAAGGGGCCAAATGTAGTGTGAAGTTCAGCATTTTAAGCACTACTAGCTGAATAGTTGGTGGTGTTCCTACGTCCATAAAACACTGCAAACTTCACCATCACCCCACAGCCTCTGGAAAGCGTTTCCAGAACCTTCTCATCTTCCCAAACTGAAATTCTGCACTTTGTAAACTAACTTGTCCTTCTCCCCTCCCCAGCCTGAGAGGTATCATTTTCTCATCTCGATGAACGTGGCTGCTCCAAGTACTCCTTGTAGGTGGAATGATACATTATTTTTCCTTTTTTGTCTGGTCTGTTTCACTTAGCATGAGGTATTTCAGGTTCATCCATATGTAATATGGATCAGGGAACAAGAATCCCGTCTATGGACAGGCCCCACCGTTTATCCACTCATCTACCCATGGACACTTGGGTCATTTCCACCTGCTGGCTATGCAGCCCCGAAATGTTCCCCAGCTGAAAACGCAGAGTAGACCTAGAACACAGCCCTCCTCAGGACCAGCACGGACGCCCATGAGATGCCCATCTCTAAGCTGTGGCCCACCACTCACCTCTGTGTTTGTGACCAGCATTTCCCGGAACACGTAAGCAATGGTGCAGTCCTCTGACTGACAGCGGATGTGAAAGGGGCCATGCTCCATGACGTCAGGAGGGTCGGGCCAGTACTGGTGACACTTGGTCTGCAAGGGAGCCGAGGGTGAGCGCCCCCACTGCAGGTACCCCGTACCCCTCGCAGAGAGGCGGGGTGCAGAGCCAGAGGCCTCTCACTCACGCCCAGTAGCTGAGCGCTGCCAAAAGAATGCTCGGGCAAGGACTATCTGCTGCGTGTTCTCTGAGGGGAGCGGAGGAGCCTCCCTTCTTCTGGATGGTGGGGTGGAGGTCAGGGTGCCAGGGGCCAGGCTGGAGTCTGGGGCCCTAACTTCCTAGTCGACATGATCCAACTGCTGAGCAAGCAGCAGAGGCCTCAGATGTGGGGCCTGGACTCAGGAGAAGCTGCTGCACCCCAGCCACTCCTAACCCCAATGCGCCTAGCCAGTCCCTCAGGCTGCCTCTCTGTTCTCAACACCCCCTTATACCTCACTACTGTTTCACCTCCACCTCCACCCCCCTTTGCAGTGGAGGCTCAGGGCACCTACTCGGGAGCCAGCCAGGGCTCCGCTGGAGTCCAGTGGCCTGTTGGCCACAAGACTTTGAACCTGCGACTTCACCTCTGATTTTTACATTCTTTGTCCAAAAACCAGGGACAGGACTGCGTCCTAGATGGTGACAAAGGCTGGGACAATGGTGTGTGGTGCTGGGCTCACTGTGGTGTCAGGTCAGTAGTGGCCGCTGTCACTGTCACTACAGGTGCTGTGTCAACGTAAGGGAGATTGCAGATTCCACAAAAAAACAGATGAAAGAAATCCCCCAAGTGAGACGGCCATCCGTCTGCACCCAAGCCTATCTCCTAGGTTCTGAAAGCTTTCCTCTGTGACTCGTGTGGGGCTGATCCTCCTCACACGCAGCGGATGAAACCAGGCTCAGTGGCTAAGCAACTAGCTCAGGTCCTCGGGCTGCTGTGGGGCTGGTCTCTCAGACGGTGGCTTCCCACCCGCCACTTTCCAGCTTCTTCTCTAAGCCCTGAAGCCTGCTCTTCAGCCATCACAGCACCTGCCTCTGACTTCAAAGCCACATGCAGGGCCCAGCTCTCCAGCCCTGTATAGTTCTATCCAAATCTGACTCATTCAAAAAGAATTTTTTTCAAACCTATAGTTGCAACGACTTATGTAATAACATTTGTTTATAGCTGAAGGGGAGTGTAAACCAACGGCATGTAATTTGTCTGGAATCAGCTCTTCTATTTTTATTTCAAATGTCACAGTAAATATTTGAAATTAAGGCATGCTGCTAGAAAGCTGGAGTTAAACATTGCTTGTAAACCTTAAAAGTGGGTACTGCAGTGAGTGCCCGTGTCCTGCCTCGGCTTTGCCGCGATGGGGCTGCGGACCGCGGATCCTGAGGCAGGTGGACATCCGAGCTGAGGGTGCCTGCTCTGTGCGGGGCGAGGTCCCCACTGCAGCTCCTACCCACGGCACGTTGATCTGAAACAGCTGGCCCAGGTCAGGCAGGGCCACGGTCTCTGCGTTTCCAGAGATGCCAGAAAATCTGACCAGAACTGGATTCTCTGTCTTGCCCTTGATCAGCTTAGATTTGAGGTCTACGTGGCTCCGAATACATTGAGGTGCAGGGGCCAGAGCCAGAAGTGTGTGGAAATCCCGAGCTTCCCTCCTGGATAATAAGTCTCACTGAGCTGGGGGATCCCGGTCAAGCTATTTCTCTGAGTTTCTATTTGCACAGTAATGTGCTGCTGGGTGGGGGTGGCACTTCCTACGGGTGTTATTTTATCTTGGCCTCAGAGCAGCTCTATGGGATGGGCGCCACTGAGGAACCAACTTGTGTCTGATCACGCACACAAGAAATGGGCCTATGTAGCTGTCAAAAAATAATTTTCTCCTCAAAAGAAAAGTGTGGGGCATGACTTTTCAATGGAGGGGTTACAGCTTGAATCACTGTACCCCCATGAGGAAGCCCAGGAAGCTGAAGGGAGAATACAGGAAAAATCACTTTGGCAGGGACTGAAAATGGGGAGAAGGCAGGGAGATGTGGCTGGAGGAGCATCGCCCAGACCACTGGCGACATGACTCCGGGGGTGGGGGTGGGGGCCTGCAGGTGCAGGCATGAGAGAGGCAGAGGCATTGGCCACAGCCCCTTTCCTGCCGACCGGGGGGTCCTGCTTGGCTACACGCACAATATGGGAGAAGCTGGGACACGCTGAAAATGTCAGCTCTCGGCAAAAGTATGGGGCAATGCTGCCAGACTGGAGGCGGAGTCCTGAGGGGGCAGAGCCAGCAGCGGGTGGGAGAAAGATGAGATAGGGACCTCAGGATAAGGGCTCCAGTCAGCTGAGAGTGTACACCAGGAGCCGAGGGACTATGTCGCCCAGCTTGCAGGGGAAGAGCAGGTGACTTACAATAAGTAAGAGCAGTGAGTTCTCAGAATCAGACAGTGAAGAAAACACCATGACTTCTAGAGATGGAATCTGAAAGGCAGGAGCCCGACAGAACCAGCAGGAGTGGGCTCAACTAGGAAGGACGGGGCTGGGACACAAAGGAGCCCCCCGGCCACAGGGAGCTCAGGTTTGGAGTGGAGACCCACAAAAGAAGACAGGGACGATGTCAGGGCAGGTAGGACCTGTAAGAGCAGTCGGAGGAAGCTGGGCCTCCTGGAGGGAAGAAAGGGCTTTTCTGCTTAGTCTGCGCAAGGGAAAGCAGGCTGCAGCCAGGGCAGATCATCTGTCAGGAGGCAGGCCCGCAGCTGCGTCTGCCTCTGCAGAGCACGGCCTCACCGCTGGGCAGGACAGCCCGCTCTCAGGGGAGAGGACGGGGCAGCACGGGCACAGGGGGGGCCCGCCGGCTGAGGGGCTCAGGGATCAGCCCAAGGCAGCATGTCCCGAACTCAACAACCTCGAGAGGCAGCAGAGGGGCACGTCCATGAGGCGTTTCTGTGGAATCCTGAAACATTCGGGCACCCGGAAGTAACAGGAAAGGCCGACACAGCATGGCTTTCCAGTGGGAGAGCGGTAAGATTTGGAAAGGACAAAACAATAGACTTAAGGTCTGTTGCTATAAAATGCCAACTGGCCCATGAGGGCTGGCAAAGGTGGCATGACTGGCGGGAGTTTAGGAGTCCGAGTCTCTATCAGTCGAGATAGAACCACATGGTGGGGAGGAATTTTCTTGTGTGTGCCATGGAACGTCTTAATTCGGGCCTTGGACAGCTTTAACGTTAGCGTCTAAACTCTAGGAGAGTGTGAGTGAGCGAGCAGGTCTTGGGCTCAAAGCCTGCAAGGCAGAAATACTTGGAATTTAATGACGTGGTGGTCTTTTTGCCTTTCCATGTGTCTTCTACTTATGGCAACTGGTAACAGACTTCCTTTAAGGCATAGTTTTTAAAGGAAATTTTCTAAAGCATAAAAATAATCAATTTAAAACTACAGTACAGTTCCCACAATAATTGCTAAGGTAGGACCCAAGCACTCCCACTATTGCCAGCCAGCACTGATTGATAGAGTATTTACCAAGTGCCACACATTCCTCTGAAAGGGTAACCTGCCTGAGCCCATTCAACTCCCTCAAGATCCCCTAAGACAGAGAGCCAGCTGCAGTTCTCCCTGAGTTCAAAAAAGGTGCCAGTAACTTTGCAGCCTCTTCAAAATGTATCTGGGAAATAAAAAAATAATCAAGGGGGCTCCCTGGTGGCACAAAGGGTTAAAGCACAGCATTACAAGCCAGCCACAGCCGCTTCAGTGCGAGTTTGATCCCCACCTGCCCAGGAGCTGACCCACATGCAGCGGCAGACCTCTCCTGACCCGCCTGCTGCTCCCTCAGCAGTGCACTTTGTCCAGCTGCTTGTTCTGCTCCCCACTCTGTCTCTGGTGAATCCTCCCACCACCCCTGCACCTTTGGCCTGGACCCCAGTTCTGTATGCATAAATAAATCTTTTAAAAAATTAAATAGAAGTGAATATAAACAAAAATACAAAATATGCCAAAGCAAGGCTTCCAGACAGGAGACCAGGTGTACCACACACAGAACCGCTGCCCTGTGATTTTAGCAAAGTGCCTGATGCTCTCCCATGATAGCTGGTGGATGGGATGGAGAAACTACACGTGGTGGCAGCATTAACTGTCCTTCAAAGAGTGTTCTTCATCCTCAAACTCTTAGCATTCCAGAAGGTTTCTACTGCCTCCTGATGACCTTTACAATTTTTTTAAAAAGATTTATTTATTTATTCATATGGAACTGGGGTACAGGCCAGAGATGCGGAGGGTGAGAGGATTCACCAGAGACAGAGGGGTGCAGAACAGGCAGATTGACGAAGTACACTGCTGAGGGGAGCAGCGGGCGGGTCAGGAGAGGTCTGCCTCGCCATGTGGATCTCCCCCGGGGCTGGCGGGAATCGAACTCATGCGGAAGTGGCTTTAGCTTCTTAGTGCTGTGCTTTAACCCGCTGGGCCACCAGGGAGGGCCGACCTTTACATTTTTAACAGTGAAGAGAAGAACGTCTGAGTGACCAGAGCTGAGAGCGATAGCCAACACCACGAATGACAGAAGGAAAGCTTTGGAGAGCCCAGGGAATCCCCAGAACTGATGACGAGAGTCACCCCATGACGATGATCACACATAGACCACCCACCACCACCCCATAGTTAACATTTGCTAGACACTTGCAACATGCAGTCTCCCGGCTTCCTGTGTCTTCATAAACCCTCTGTGGTGGGCACGATGTCATCTCTACTTTATATGCAGGGACACTCAGTGTCAAGAGAGGTTAAAGGACCTGCTTCAACGTTCCAGCAGCATGCGACATACAGGTTTCAAGAGTGCAGGGCATGAGCACAAAATGGGGAAAACTGACCCGACAGCCACATCGAGACAAAGTCCAGACAGTTTCTGCTGACCATGCACTTAGTGGAAACCGAACATGCAGCCTTTTGCAATTCCAAGACTATTTTCAGCTATCTGAAAGGGGATTGCCTGGAAGAAGGGGATAACTTGCATCTTTCATGTGGCAGGAGCAGGTGGGGTAGGGGCTCAAAGAGATGTGGATTTCAACTTATTGTGAGGGGGATTTAAAAGCCAAAGCTGAACATCCAGAGGATGGACCCTGGAAGTGTTTCTGCAGAGGTAAGGAGTCATCAGCCCGGGGCAATGCATGTAGAAGCCCTTTGCAAGCCCTCGGGCTCTTAGAACTATCAGGGATTTCATGCTGTTTCACGTAAGAGGGTGCATTCCAATCCTGGTAGCTGACACACACCAGTTTGGCATTCTGAACCCAAGAGAGGTCAGAGAGGCCGGGCAGAAACAGCACACAGTAGCAACATTAATTTGTATTTGATTTAGGAATGTGTTTCTGAGCAAACGTGTCACAACAAAGACATTGAGATGGACACACCGGTCAGAGAGTTCTAGGCACGGATGTGCCCTGCACAATGACTTCTGCTAAATAATCAATGATATGGCCTGATGAAAAGACACATGTGGCCAAGAAGAGCATGGAGACCACTGCTCTCCGGCTCCAAGTCCTCCTTACCCCTTCGTGCATCAGATCTCACCTTAACAAGCAGAGACTGCAATTTCTCCTCCTTCTCAGTGCCACTGAGAACCTGGCACCAATACTGCTGGTCACGGGACCAGCACTTGCCCTGGGGGTGACCACACAGCTGATGCAGGGTTTTTGGACAGGTGAGGCGAGGCCAGAGGTGCATGTAATGATGGGTCTCAGCAGGGAGGAGGAGGGCCTGTCTGACCACCTCCAGCTGGGGGGCCTGGGGAGCGGGCTGAAAGAGCGCTGAGCTCCTGCAACTGCAACTGTCTGCTCCAACGACTGTGTCCACTAGCAGCTCTCAGTCATTCACGGGTCAAGGAGGGGCAGGACTAGGTAACACTGAGGGTGCTCTGCAGCCCGGGGATGCAGATTAGCTGCAGCATGTGTGGCACAGCACCTACTAGAGCTGGAAATCAAGTCACTTACCCGCCCTCGCTCTGTGAGAGTCGTCAGCATGATGATGAGCGATAACTTCTGATCCCAGACGACTTGCCAAAACTGTGCACAGGTATGGGGCAGGGGTCCCTGAGCGGCGATGTACCTGTTCACAAGGTTAGCCGCAGAGATGTCCATCTGGCAAGAGATGAAGGCGTCAGCATCTGTTACTGCTGCAGAGGGACAGGCGACAGGACCCTAAACTCTCATACCTGGTAAGTGACATCCTAGTAGCAGGATCTACCAACTTACAACAAGCGAGGAAAAAATCAAAGAGAATGTTAAAAATCCTTGAGAGGGCTCTCACAGTAACGCTAAGCATTCAGAGTGAAGCTACACGTGGATGACACTCAGAAGGCAGGCGAAAGACAGACACATGCCTACAAGGTGGCAGAAGAGGCTTCCTCTCGTTGCTCTACGCCAAATAGAATCAGCACTGGGAATCTGTGAGTCTTTCCCCAGGCAGCGTTTGTAACCAAAATCTACTTTTATTAGAAGCATACATCATGCAAGTTTATACCATCGACTTCTGCTGCTCTGCTTTTCTCCTGGCTCCCCGTGTCTGCGTCGCGAATGGCCCCATCTTAACACGGCCTGCTACGGTGGCCTCCGGGTGCCCAGGGCCCCTCGCCATCCTGCTCTGTTGTCCCCTCCCTTCTGAACTGCATGAACACTGGACTGAAAGAGCACTCAACCTGCAGCACTGTGGGGTGGTACTGTCACTCCCTCACTTTCAGGCGGGGAAGGTAAACACAGGGGCCTGATCCTGCTGGGGGAGGCTTCAGAGTTCACTCAACCCTGGTCTCAGCCCCCTGTTGGCTGACAGAGGCTGCGCTGCGCAGTCCAGATGGCCTCACCCTTTCCGCTGCCGCTTTCTATGCACGGATCAGCCACACGGATTAGGGCAGTTTCTGATGGCTATAATTTGAGAACTTCACCTGAGAAAAATTTGGATTTTATTATTTAGACCAAAGGTTGGCAAATGATGGCCTGAGGGCCAAGTCCAGCTCCTGCCTCTCTTGCTAAGAGTTACTGTTCACAAAGCTGTATTTTAAATAGTCATAGAAATCCCTAAGACATAGCCTTGGTTTTGCCCTGGGCTTACAATGACCAAAATATTGCTCTCTGGTCCTTTACAGAGAAAAGGTGCTGACCCATGGTTCAGATGAAGCTGAGTCAAATAAGTTGCCCAAGATTTTTTCAGAGTGAATAAATACTTCCCCCACAATATATGAAGCCTTTCTTTTTTGGGTATACATATAGTGGAGGTTTTATTTTTTTGGCAGAATGTACACTAGTAATATGGGGGAAATGGGAATACAGGACCTTATCAATGTCCACAGCTAAGGGCGGAAAGCATGTGCAGGATGGAGTCAGAGACAAGGAATCCGAGTTTTTTCCCACCTCCTATTAGTTCTGTGACTTTTCCAATTATTTAATCGTTCTGCACCTCAGTACACAGGTGAAGCCCTCTGTAAGCTCAGCCTGTTCTTCCTCCCTCAATGACTGCTGTGCCGAAACGAGGGAGTGAACAGGATATCACTTTGTCAACTGCAAAGCATCCTGCATGTGGTCATCATGCTTGTTGTACTGATTATTGTGCCCTTTCTTATTATCTAGATTCCAAACTTACGTTCACGTAACTGGCATTAATGTAATCTTCATTTCCCTGTAATAATACCCGGGTGGTGTCATCTGTGGGGGAGAGAAAAATTTACCAATTATTATGAGCATTATTTTTATCCTACCAAGTAAACAAGAGTTCAGTTCCCAGCCCCATCTGCAGCTCCCACCTCATTAGCATGAACACTATTCCCCAACTGTTCGGAGTCTGAAATGGCTGCAATAAAGATGGTGGTGTTTACAGACACACTGGAAATCGTTCCAGAATACCAGACAATCTGTTTTAAAAAGGGAAACATTATTTCAGTGTGAGCGTGGGGGAAGGAGGCAGTCACACCGATACTCACAAGGCAATACGTCTTTATATCGGTTTTTGTCCAAATTTTGAGGCAGTTTTGCAAATGTGATGGCCAACCCGGGCTTCTTTCTGTAGAGTTGCTACATGACAAACAGAGAAGTTAATAAAACAACACTGCAAGGAAACAGCCATGAGGGGAGTGTGAATGCATAAGTCAGCGGTAAAGTTTATCAGCCTTAGCACCCAGATCTTAACATTTAAAAGTGATGATATTATGTAAGAAAACATCCCCCAAGGAGCAGCTTTACAATTGCATGAGAAATTAAATTCATCAAAAAAATTTTTTAAACAGGAGGATCTTTGGGGGGGGAAAGAAGTCATAGGAAGGGGGCTGAGTCATACATAATGGAATATGGTTAAGTAAAACCTTGTCTTTGTGACAATTATGTGACAAATGCTGAAAGCAAGTAGAAGAAAAAAAAAGAATTCTGACTCAAAGTTAAACGGAGTCACCTAAATTAGTCTAAAAACATTTCCCTCCAATTCAATGAACCATATTTGCTCAAGAGAGAACATTTCATTCATTAGCTCAGAAGTATATTTCCACTGTAAAAACAGTTATTCTGATATATAGTAAGCTTCATTTACAGGGTTATTTTCCTGTATATGTGATCACTAGCAAAAAATTCAATGAGAGCAATTTTCCTGTGTACGTAATAATAAGCACACTTTGCCACGGTACCTGATGTGATTTTGACAACAGCTCTGTGAGAGGTAGTTAGAGTCTCCTTATTTGGCAAGCAGGAGGCAGAGATTAAATGCTTTGCTCAAGATCACAAACTGGAGATGGAACTCAGACCTGACTCCAAGGGTTGGCTCTTCCTTGGGGACCACTTTACGGAGGTCTGACTGACATGCAAAGAGCGGTGCCTATTTAATGGACACGACTCCAGGAGTTTGGACCTAGGATCTACCCAGCATGAAGGACACAGACACATCCACCCCCACAAAGTTTCCCCAGCCCCACTGTGATTTCTTTGCTACACAGCATCGCACACCTCCCCTCCTTTGGAGGAGAGAGACAAGTACTATGAATCAGTGTTTTTTACTGACTTTATGGAAGATTAAAAACAACACAACTTTTTTCAGTATTGGAATTGATCTTTTTTTCTTTTTCAGGAAATTTGGGAAATTCATTTAAAAAAAGACCAGCAACTTCAGAGACCTGAGTTGATCCTTTTCATATTTTCTCTAGCTTATTTTTCTGTGCATCCATGCACACAAAAAACATAAGCATATATGTCAAAACATGTAATAAAGACACACCACTCAAGGATAAAATACGAGATTTACTAGATATTAGCTCTTTCCATAGGATGTTATGTGAAACCCAAGAATTCTGAGAAGTTAACCAGCATTCCATAGACCGTGAACAAATTTCCAAGTTCAAAGAGATCTGGGAAATAGTACAAAGCATCTGATACCCTATGAACCTCGAAGAAGACAAGTCCTTCAGGGCATATGCTTGTTTAATTCTAATTAGCTAAGTGTTTCTCCAGCTAATTTGGCCAAGGTTTTCACATCTCTCAGAGTGTTCTGGGAAACACCATAATTGGAAGCCAGTTTTTTTCTTCCTTACAGTACCCAGTTCCCTGCATCAAGTATTCTCTGTATGTGATTTTTTTTATTAAAAAGTTTATTTTTACATCATTTTGCACTGTATGTGATTTTTAACTGGCTGAACAATCTGGTTTTTCATAATTTTAATTTTCACTCTACGCTCTGATCAGGCTTTTATGCACATATAAATTCTTCAGAACATAATTGTTGCATTAAAACTTATTTGTAGAGATTTGAGCTTACAACCATGTTGCCCTAGGGGTATGTAAGAATGTTTAGTTCACCAAATTGTGGCAAACATCACCAAGTACAATGTCTGCAATTTGAACAGGGAGGCTGAACATTCTTTCCTTCTGTAATTTTGCAAATTATTTGTTTTGTAAACTGGCCTCCGTTGGTCTGTTCTTCTCTTATCAGGCCTTCTTAAAATTAAACAACTTGCAAAGAAATCACAAGGAGCATATTAGCATAGAGTTTCAGTAACACTTATTGTGTCATATCTTACACATTTACTACCTCCCTAGAATTTTCATGCTCCCCAAGCTCCATTACTGATCACCTTTAAAATTTCAGTTCACAACAAGCAAGTAGCCACTGAACAATTTCTCAAGGTCTGTGAACTTTAATGGAGTTCATTATGGAAATAATTTATGAGAGGCTTTGATTCGATAAGGGGGAATCTCTGATTCAGACAAATTTCTCTAAATGATAATTCTGTTCCAACTACATGCATGGAGGTGAATTGCAATTAAGTGACTATGGTCAGTAAAGTTAACTGGAGGTAAAAAGATTTTCAGACAGAAATGCAAATGTAATCAACTTGCGATGGGCTAGCAAAAAAGAGGAATAATTCTAGCAAAAAAGAGGAATAATTCTAGCACAAATCTTTATTTATAACAAGTACGTAAGTGTACCTCAGTAATAGCTTCTGTTGATAGGATTGCAGAGTAGTAAAATGAAGTTTAAAAAAGTATATAGCCGTGTTTGAAAATGTTTGAATGTGCACATCCTTGGACTTGTCTGCTAGAAATGTATGAAAGAAATCTATCTGCAGAAAAACGTATTAACAGAAAACTGAAATCTGCCTGAGTATTCCCCGACCAGAAGTGTTGCCTTAAATTATGGTGAAGATGCAGCACCACAGTATGTGCAAATAATAAAAGTAAGACAAACTGGAAGTACTGACTTGGACACGTCCGTTATCTGTTTTTCAGGGAGAAGTGCAAGCTGCAGAGTAATGCACACGCACCTGTACATGCACACACAGGTGCACACCCACAGTACATGCGTCAGGACACAGGTGCACTTACAGACGTGTGTGTCCAAACTGCCTGCACGAGCACAGTAAAAGCATGGCAGGCTTACACGCATTGTCACTTGTCAGTCATAACAGAGATGTCAAAGGGGAAGGCAGTCGGGAGACTGTTCATTTCACTCTGGCTGTTTCGGAGTGACCTGAATGATTACATTGTGATTTTATTTTTTTAATTCAAATGACCAAGGTGAGAAAAAAAAGAACTACAACAAAAGATATCTAGAAAAAAATTGTAAGAAAGAAAAGTTTACAAAAAGCTGGGCAAACAAATCAAAGTAAAAAATTTGGGGGGAGAGGGGACTTCAGAAGGTCTGACACACAAGCAGGCTGCCCGTGCATCTCAGGCCCAGCGGGATGCATCGGCCCTGTGCACACTCTTAGTTGCTGAAAGTGTTCAGAGTCCATTTTCAAGTTCAATTCATGGACTTTTGTTCAGACCTTGAAGCTGCTCAGCAAACTGGGGATGAAAGCACTGAGAAGAAGGGGTGATGGCTTGGAAACAGGGGTGCCTTTCTGGAGGCGGGGCTGAGTTCAGGCTCTATTATGTTGTCCAGCATCTGAGACAGGAACTGCACCTTGGAAATACAAGAACTACATTTTGACTGGATTGTTCCTGGCTGGGAAGTATGTGCAGTGGACAAGAGCCCCGGGTGCAGGGGCATGAAGTCTGGCCCTAGAACGAGAGCATAGGAGGATGGAGACAGTGACAGCACACAGGCTTAGACAACCAATTAGCTTTATGAAAAACAAAACAATGCAAGGGCCCTCCCTGGTGGCACAGCGGGTCAGAGTGCAGCACTGAGAAGCTGGAGATGGCCACGTCAGTGCGAGGTCAATCCCCAGCCAGGGAGGTGACCCACAGGGCACAGCAGACCTCTCCTGACCCACCTGCTGCTCCCCTTGGCAGTGTGCTTCATAGATCTGCCTGTTCTGTTCCCTACTCGCTGGTGAATCCTCTCCCTGTCCCTGCACTTCTGGCCTGTACCCCAGATCTGTATGCATAAATAAATAAAAATCTTAAAAACAAAACACCCATCACTGCCCAAAATGCTTGTTTCATCAGAATGCAGTTCTAAAAAGTGGTCAAAGATGGGCTCAGAGGGCTCCTAACAACTGCACTGAAATAGCTTTATCTCAGCCACGGGCTCAGGCTCCAAAGGCAGAAAGCTCAACGGAGGGAGCCGGAAGTCTCCACTGCAGCAAGAGTGGGATGGTGAGATGACATGGTTTTCCAGTTGAAACATTCCTTCAAAAAAGCATCTGAGATGAGACAGATGGCATCAAGAGATGACTGCTCTTTGCGGACCTCTCACCCAACCAAACATGTGAAATCAGTCAGTTCCTCAAAGAGGGCTTCAGACACCTGCTGTAAGCAGTTAGGTGCTGGCAAGGCCAGGTGTGCCATGAGCCAGAGGCAGGGCTTCTCACTGCAATTCTGATGGCTGAGAACCCAACAAGGAGGGACGAAAAGGGAAAAGTCAGGACAAAGGGGGTAGGCGAGGCTGAAGGGACAATGGCAAGCAGAGGGCAACAGAAACAGACCCCTTCCACGTCCTCGACACTGGCCCGTCTTCTGCAGTCTGCTTCCTGGGCCCCACCACGCCGGCCTCCAGGCAGGGTGGTTTTATTCGCGACCATCAACTCTAAGCCAGCAGGATGCCTGGCACCAGTAGGTGCTTCATTAAAATATGAGATCTGCTGCTTTCAAAAAGGACACAGACCAACCGAAGAAAGCATGGTGGGAGGAGGCTGGAGCCCGAGAATGGAGGGAACTCGGTTCTCCTGAAGCCTGGCAGGGCCACTGCGCAGACGCAACAGGATTCCTTCACGGGGTGGCTGCCTCCTTCCCTTGGACTGGCCCAGCCAGAGGACGAGGGACACTGTCCACAGGGCACTGGGAGCCTCTCCCCGGCTTCCCACAGAAGCTTGCTGAAATGAATTGGCATTGTTGCCAGTAACTCTGGGGCCTTCAAGAGCACAGCCCCAGAAGCAGACCCCACCGCCTCTGCAGGCAAACTCTCATCCTGCCCTCACATAGGTCCAGACAGGACGCCTGTGGGTGGCCTCTCTTTATGTGGACCCCAGCACTTGAGATGCAAAGGCCGTGGGGTCACATGGCCATGCCGAAGCCCGCAGTTGGCTTTCTGCGATCTGTACAAATTACTGGTAACAGTTTCCATGGCAAGGACTACATGCCAATTATAA